CTCAAAGAAACTACATGGAACTACATAAATACTATAACCCAGGTGCCACAAATTTCGCCTAGAGAGAGAAGCCGGTCAAAAGGAATTTAGAAGAGCACAGAGCTGACAGATTGAAAGTACATACTTCAGGGCCAGCTTCTATATAGCTGGGGTCACTACTACTTACTTTTCCAACAGCTAAGGAATTGATCCAAGTCAATACATACTAGCAAGTACAGGAAAGGCTCCTCTTTATCACAGTATATAATGAATACCTGTCCACTCTTGGGGCATGGCATTTAGCTGAATTTGAGGAGGCTGGACAAAGTCTTCATTCAGTCTTAGAGATGGCTTTGCTGTTAATCTGTGCTTAGGCCTGTCTAACCCAGGGAATATAGAGGATAACACTGTCGCACATAAGAAAGCTCAAGCTAATTATTTTCACTTTACCCTGTAATCTGCGTGCTTCTCACCAAAAGAGAAATGACTCTACATGAATAGGTTTGTGTGTCCAGGGTCACTAGTATTGTTCTTCTTGTGGAATGACCAGTAAAACTTAGAACAGTTGCTTGGGAATAAGCTCTTCCATTTATGTCTTAAGCTCTTGCCTAAATACTTGGGCTGTGCAAACCAGCACCGTTTCGTTTCAACTTCCATTTCACCATTTTGAAGGGACGGTGTTTCGTTTCACTTTTGGCGCGTTTCGACGTTTCACCCATAGGCTATAATGGGGAATCGCGAAAATGCCTATCACTTTGTCATTTCTTGCCTAATTTGCATGAAAATTGCAGGGAGGATAGCCCCGCCTGAGGGCATGACACCTGTCAGGTTTCAAGGAGATACGTATAGGAGTTTCTGGGAAACTGAACCTTAAAATGTTCAAAACAAGACTCTCATCACTTGCCAGCAGCAGCAGCCTGCTGTCATCCCTCATCATCCAGGCTCCCACGCCCCCCCCGGGAGGAGCTGGGGCAAGCAATCGGAGAGCTGGGGGAAAGATTGGGAAGCTGGGGAACCCAACCGAGAACTGGGGGACCTTGAACATTCCCCCAGCTCCCTGTTCAGTTCTTCCAGCTGTCTGATCATTTCCCCAGCTTTTCGGCCCCCGGATCTGCGCACCAGGTTTCAGCAGGCTGCCGCTTCAAGCTGGGGCCAGCGGCAGCACCGCAGTCTTCCCGGCACTCGGCGTGGGCAACGCCAAGTGGCTGCCACTGGCCCCAGCCTGCAGCAGCAGCCTGGTGAAACCCCGCACGCAGATGAGGGGCCTGCACCCCTGGGAAGAGCTGGGGAAATGATCAGAGAGCTGGGGGATTGAACCAGGAGCTAGATGTCAATATCAGAGCAGTCCTACCCCTGCTCCCCCCCACCCCTTAGTTTCTGTTTAGCTGCAAGCAGGCCTGGCTTCAAAACTCGAAATGTTTCAAAACTTTCTACATTTTCAAGTGCCCTCGTTTTGTTTCGAAGCTGTTTCAAAGCCTTTCATTTCGTTTCAATTTCGCTGTTTTGAGGTTGAAACGCATTGAAACAGCTTCAAAACAAAACACCAGTCAAAATTTCACACAGCCCTACTAAACACAGAATTCATTTCAAGTAAATCTGTTTAGAAGCTGGTGTGACTCCAGCACCCTTGTGTAGATGGCCTTGCTTTGAGTTGAGTGCCTTGTGCCCACACAAAGGGGATGGTCTGTTTTAGCTACATCAGTTGCCAGAAATACTGAACTATGTCACTTTAGTGTGTGTGTAGACAGGACGCAAGACCCAGACTAATCAGTGGGAGGTGTTTAGTAACTAGGGAAACGGCTGTTTCCAAGGTTGGCAAGGACAACAGTGGGGTGATCTGCCCGGGAGGGAAGGTTTCTGGCAGCCTTTGCCTCGTAAATTCTATTAGACTTTACCCAGATCTGTCTGGGTAAGGTCTATTAGGAAAAATGCAGACCTTCCAACCAGGAATTTTCTGTCTTCTTCATTCAAACATACCACAAAGTCTAGGATGTACTTCCTTGTTCTGATGACAGTTCTCAGTTCAATGACTTTTGATAAAACTGAATGTTTTAAACTGGCGAATAGAAAAGTGTTGTTGTTTGATGCATAGCTAACGTGTAGTGTGGAACTCGCTGCCATACAATAACCCTGAGGCTAGAAGCTTGTTAAGATTCAAGGACAATTTGTTACGTGGATGAAACTGTCTCCATTTAGAGTAGATAAGGGAAAATATAAAGGCTCTAAACTCTCTTATTTCAAGGTAAAAACCAACCACTTGCTTCCAGGCTTGACATCCATTTCTATAACTGCCCTTTTTGTGCTTTTTGCACTTTCCTCAGAAATTGCTGCTATTGGCCACTTTCCAACACTCGGTTGATATGGATGGACTCCTGGTCTGATCCAGGATTTTACCATCTGCTGTGTTTCTCTGTTTGCCCTTCCTTCTCTCTGTCTCTTCCACTTTCCCTAGTTCACAGTATGATGGAGGTCAGGAAATGGCAATTTAAACAGTTTGTGTTTAGAGCGACACTAGGGAAGAAGTAGTGCACAACCAGCGTGATTTGTAGGTGGGGAAGCTGGGCGCGTGAAATATAAATGTTAGGGGAATATGAGAGGTGGAGTTTTGGGTCCTTACAGCCTCTCATAAGCAAGCAGAAATGTTGAGTGGTTTGGGGAAGCCTGGTGAACAGTGAATGGGAAAATACAGTTTTAACACTAATTGTTCCTGTGTGCCCCAGTAGGAAATGCTACCTAATTTCTTCTCAACCTCTTCCATGTAACAAACTTTAACTTGACTGAATTTTCAAAATCCTTTGGCCAACTCCAGTTATGGGGATGTAGAAAACTATGATGCCCAGAAAATGCACTGTTGTCATCAGCTAATTCAGATGTGGCCAAGCTGCAACACGGGTGCCACAAGTGGAGGGGACAGACAGCCCTGCAGTAGATAGAGCAGGCAGCAGAAAGCAAAGCAGCAAATTGGTCCATGAGCACGGGGCTGGGAGCAGAAAGCAGAACAGAAGATTGGACAGGGAAAGTGGATTAGAATGGCACTTGGGTAAGGAACAAGGCTAATTTGTGGCACGGCCTCCAGAAAGGTTGCTTCTCACTGGGCTGATGAATTTAAACACTAGATGTTCCATTAAAAGGTTGTTAATGTCTGGTGAAAGATGTTAAGTAGTTGACACTAATCCTGCTTGTGTATAGGACCAGACTGACCTTCTCATTGTTCCCACTGAAGTCAGTGGGCAGTTGGAGATGCAGAGCAGCTGCAAAATCTGGAAAGCATCCTGACACTTTAGTTGTGCTGGGGGTAGCCATCCTCCTGTGCTAGTGACAACTGCAGTAGGGCATAGTATCTCCTGGGTGTTCTAGGAAGTGTTTTCTGAATGTCTGACTATATCTTTTGTGAAGTGACTAGCAACATAGATACATGATGTCCTGACACAAGCCACATGTTAACTCTCACATTTGGTTCCGGTACTACATTGCTCCAACATGGTGCAGGAAATAATGCCTGTGGTTTGAATGAATTATCAATGATTATAGTGCATCATAGAGAACATGCACAATAGTCTAAAACACAGCTGATTACAGTCAACCAGACTGTTGTTTAGTATGAAAACCAAAGGTGGTTGAGCTTCATCCACTTCCAGGCCTTGCAACCTTCTTTCTTGTATTTGCAAAACTTGGTCAAGTTTATGAATTATTTCCCCTCTGCAGTTTTGTGGGAGTGTGAGAATTCAAGTGAAAATGTTCAGATTTTGCTAGCCAAAGAGAAAATTGTGCTATGTTTTGAGGCTGACTCATAAAGAGTAATATAGTACAAGACTGTAGGAGGAGGCTTATGTTGAAGTTTGAATCTCTGAGATCTGGAGTCTTTTAGGGCTGAAGGGAAAAGAAGTCAAAGGAGAAGCAGATTCTATGTTGTAAAATATTCCTCTGCACTGTGTTCAAAAATATCAACCAGTTGTATATGTATAGTGACAGGGGCCTGCATCCAATCCTCTGTAACTCTGAGGAGGTTGGTGGTGGCAGTAGTGAAGATCTTTAGGGCCTATGGGATGCTTTTCTTTCTTCTTTCTTCCTTCCACCATTAAAAAAAAGGGGCACTAGTAGGAATGCTGTGAGCCTTCCTCTAGATTTATATATTGTTATATTACAAACTGCAAATTGACTGATTTACATGTTTAATTACCATGTTCTCAGTGAGCTGAAATTTGAGAACAGGTAGTCAGATCCCATATTTGAACTTCAAACAGTTCAGAATAAACCAGCAGAATATTATCAATATGGGTATCAGCTTTCAAGCATCTGTGGTTTTTCCATGCTGGCACCTTTTTTTGTATTTGGATACCAACATGGTGCAAACCTGTCAGCAGAGGAGTCCATGCTTTCCTTTTTAGCTATAACCTAGAAATTTGTCTCATATACATATTACTGCCCACCAGAACCTCTGCCCTTTTGCCATCTCAGATATTGCTTAGTAAAAGAGAGGCAAAGGAATATAGCTTCTACTAAAGGGAGAGATGATGTTTAGAAAGCTGTCAGATGGAGTGGTGGGAGTCCAGGATATTCTGGTATTTTAAGGAGACTCCAGGAATGTGGGGGACTCCGAGGATGGAATGGGGTTCGGTGTATTCCAGGCATTCACTATTTCCATTTAATACATATTATGCAAGAAATTTGCTGAAGGTGAGTGACTATCACCAGCACTGGCTCTGATATCCCTTCAGGTCAGCCACGTGTTGTTACAGCGGCAAGAGTCAGAACCTCTTTCCTAGGCAGAAACAAGCACCCCAGACCAAAGAAACTATTTAGTATTCCTCAGTTGTTCATGTTCATTGTCCTGTATCTCTAGCAATTTGCATATCATTACCTATAATTCCATACCCTCCAATCTTACTGTTTCTCTGGCTCTCTTTGAAGGTCATTCTGGCATGATTGTGGTTGTGGTTCAGTAGACTTTGACTGTGAAGGGTGGGAAAAACAGGATAGAAAGTTTTTTATTCAAATCTGCCTTATAACCTTACCCTCAGGTATGTGATCATATCCCGAGAGGAGAGAGAGCAGAACTTGATGGCCTTTCAGCACAGTGAGAGGATATACTTCCGAACCTGTCGTGACATCCGGCCTGGGGAGAGGCTGCGGGTCTGGTACAGTGAGGATTATATGAAGCGGTTGCATAGTATGTCCCAGGAGACTATTAACAGGAACCTCACAAGAGGTGAGTTTCATCCCTTCCTTCATCCCTTTTCTTTTTTTTTGCCATTCTCTAGCCAAGTTTCCTGCATTCTGTGATTTGGATCATAGACATAATATCAATAAATAATACATAGCATGTGCAAGAAGTGCTGAATTTCTAAAAGCAAAGCCCGTAAGTACAGAGCCCCATTCAGCTTGGTATGTGTGCAAAAGAAAATGCAGTTGTCCTCAGGGTGTCTGAAATCACAGCAGAATATCTTCACTTTATGTTTTGTAAGAAACTGAAATAAAACATGAATATTGGAGCTTCTCTCCTTCATAAATCTCCCTGTTGTGAAGCTGCTGCATTGACATATATTAGACTTCCCCTTTGTAAGATGTCTAATTCTATGGTTCCTGTGAATAACTGTTTAAGGGAGCTCTTTGGATAGGTTTGTGTGAATGTGAAAGTGAAGTTTTCTTGATATGTTTGTATCTCTGATTTCCTGGCTTAATTTATCTCCTCTTTCTTCCATGAGTTAATTTGAGAACAACACTGCATCAACAAGAGACTCCTCAAGCACACAGCCTTATAGGGCTTATATGACATATAGGAGATTTTTTTACTGGTCATTAGATTCAGACCAATTTTTCCCTGGATTAGAATTGCTGTCTCATTATAGGGATAGTCATGCTGGAGCAAATCCAGTGTTCCTTTAGGCCAGTATGAAATTCCCAATGCAAGAAACTATAGGGGAAGACAAGATATTGCTATGCATGTATTTGTCTATCTGATGCTACAGCTTTGGGAATGAAGGAATTTCTTTCCAAGCCCAGCCACAGAATGGCAGGGCCTCTGAGAGGCAGCAAAACTAAATATAATTTTATCATTAAAAATCCTCTGTGTGCTATGGCACAGCTGCTGCTGCCTTGACTTGGTAAAAGGTGTCTCCTATTAAAATAGGGGGAGGACAGGGCCTCTTGGAAGCCCTGTTGATTCTCTGTCAACCTGTAGTTTTACACTTTCTGAATGTCATGATATATCGTTGATAATATTTGGTGAATATGCATGTATTACATTAACAGTTATATTAACTATTGTATGTGTATGCACAAGCATTAGGGATTTTGTTTTCATCCCATGTGCACACCAGATGCTCAAGTATTTTGAAACGTTCAGAAAATATTAGAAGGAAAACAGTATGTGTGCAGGGTCCAAGGTGGGTTACCTGGCAGGGAAGTCTTCCATTGATGTTTCTCCCAATATTAGTCTTTGTATGAATGCCCATTGCCAAATTGTATGCATCTCTGGCCCCCACCACACAAACATACGCACTTGCATTTGGATCTTCTGTTTCTACAGATCGAGAATTAAAAGTGATAGTCCACTGTAAGTGAAGCTATGAGTGTAATAGAGAACTATATCTGGGCTCACCAGAACCTACAGTATCCAGCCACTTGGAGCTTGTTATATTGAGATAGATGGGAAAGCCTATATAAAAACCTCCAGCTATCTTAGTGAGCTAGTCCCTTGCTACCCTGGACTCAGCATCACATAAGAAAAATGCAGACACGATCATCACATGCATTTTTCATTTGGAACTCCTGGTTTCTGCTCTGAAGTGCCTCACCTTTAGCCATTAGAAAATAAGAATCTGTTTTAAAAAATGTTCTGTTTAAAACACCCAAAAATGCAAAGTCTTCCAAAACCTGTCAAGAAAAAAGATGCATTCTAAAAAAGCTCCCAGTGAGTGACAGAGCTTCTATTGTTTTTCCTTTTGTTTCTGCCCTAATTTCTTGGCTTTATGGGAGGGTTTCTTATGTGCTCAAATAGCTTAACATGAGGCCACAGTATTTACTTAATTATAAAAGAGTAATTGATTAAAAGAGACCATCTCTTTTAAGGTCACTTAATCAGTGGTTGAAATCCTCTGCAATGAAGAAAACAAAAAGCTAATAAATCCAAGCTCTGCCCTTAGAAACACAGTAGCAAAATATGTTGAGTCTGTTGCATTGTTTCATACCAGAAGGCAAGTGGGGATGCAACCTTACCCTAAGAACCCAGCATGAAATCTCTGCAACGTCCAGTCCAGCCCTCCATACAGTTCCATATCTAAGTTGTTTTCAGTCTTCCATCTTTTCTGCATCCTTAGCATTGTTCTCCTCAGCGAGACACTAGTAGCGCTTACACTGTAGCTGTTTTGAAAACATGAACTTATTTTAAAACCAAACAAAAAAAATCAGCATAAAGCAACGTCTTATTTGGGAAGCCACCAATGCTTGAAGTTATTTACAAGATAGAAGAAAGATGGAATTGAACCAAACCTATCATCCTTTGAATTTCCAGGTAAGGAAATATGGCTATTCCCTTTATTTTGAGCAATTAATACTTTGTGTAATGTTGCTTTTATTTTTTATCTTTGAATGATGGCCACTTTCTTAGAGTCCATAGGGACAAGCTAGATGTCCCAGCTTAGGAGAGAGTTCATCAGTTCTAGCTCAGTTGGAGACATGTACCATGGGGATTAAGAGGGCAAGTTTTTGTTTCCTGTGCTCTCTCATCTCTGGAAGAGCCTCCAGACTGAAACAGAACGAGTGCTTCTAAGCTTCTGGTTGTTAATGAGCAGACATTTGTGGTTCTTGTGGAAAACTCTGAATCTCATGCTTCATGTGCTGTACACCTGATACCTTTTACCAAGTCAAAACAGTCGCTGTTCTTCCAGCAAGCCAGTAGGCATTTGGGCACAGGGCATAGGGTTCGACTGTAATCAGTAGTTGACCTTATAGTCTTAATCCAGCACAGGTTGGTTATACCTGTTACATAAAACAAGCTGCCTGTATTTTTTTCTTCTCTTTAAATGTGTGGGTCCTACTCCTGTGTGGTTATAGAGACTGTCTCTTTTGAAGGCTTGCCCAGTAGTAGAGCTTATCTTCTTGGTTTCCGTTGAATTTGCTATCAGTTTCCTTATTTGTAATGCCACATACAAATCTGCAGGGACTCAGCCTGCCTTTTCTTTTTTTTTTTTTTTTTAGTTTTAGATTGAGGAATATTGCGTAGTTCCCTATGATAATCCCCGACCCCCTCATTTTCCTTTCTAGGCGATAAAAAATCACAGAGAGAAAAGTCAGAAAAAAATGTGGAAAATCAAGAGGACATGAGAGGCCCTCTTCAGCTTACCACATTGAAGCAAGGGAAGAGCCCTTACAAGCGGAGCTGTGAAGAAGCAGAATCCCATCCCCAGACAAAGAAAAAGAAGATAGATCTCATCTTCAAAGATGTCTTAGAGGCTTCCCTGGAGTCAGCAAAGCTGGAAGAGCACCAGCTAACCACGAGCACCCCACTTTCCATTAGAAAGGCATCTAAATACCAGACTGAAGATGTCTTTGAAAGGTGTGGAACTACCATTCAGCATAGCTCCCCAAACCTCAGCAGAAACCGAAGTGAGGGAGAATGGAAGGTCCCCCATAGTTCCTCTTTTAGCACAGCCAAAGAGATGGGTCTCCTGGAAGATGAAGAAGAAGAGCCTCTGTCACTCAAGGCAGACAGCCCTACTGAACCATCTCTGGCATCCACTCAAGGCAATTCACATGAAATCCCCACAACTTCCTTTTGTCCCAACTGCATAAGGTTGAAAAAGAAGATCCGAGAACTGCAGGCTGAGCTAGACATGTTGAGATCTGGCAAGTTACCTGAGCAGCCTGCTCTAGCACCTCAGGTACCTGAGCTTCAAGAGTTCTCTGACCCCACAGGTAAGTCATGGAGAATAAGAATGTTCTTCAAACACTGCATAGGAAAATTTAGGACATCACTGTATACTGTGTGCAGGCCTAAAATGTTCCAGCTTGGCCATTATGGGGAACACTGTGTTTTATAGAAACATTAGAGCCGTGTTTTGCTGAGTTGGGGGGCAGGAGCTGATACTGTGAGCCCACTGGGAAGACATTGTTTGGGAAATCTTCTGTAATAACAACTTGTTCTATTTGTTTCCATTGTAATGAATACACTGTCAATAAAAAAAAGAAATTCCATTGCAGCTGACTTGTCTGCTGTATTTTTGATGCTTTCTTTTTCAGTGGCAGCAGTGTGATCCTTTTGGAGCTACCAGGAAACTGTACTTGAAAGTCTGAATTACTTTGAATGTTGAAACTGAAACATACTGACTTCCTGCATGTGTGTGAAGTGTAACAAATCCATTCTTTCCTTTGGAAGCACTCACTGTATACTCTGCTGTCTTAATGCAAGCATGCATTCCTTTCAGAGACTTGTTTCATTACCCTCGAGCATATGCTGTCAGTTACTAATTTTCTTTAGCAAAGCAGCATCATGTTTACTTTTGGGTACCCCACAAAGTGGTCAGAATGGCCTTTATCTTCTTGTTGACCAAGAGACGTGGTATGTTTAAGAGTTATATAAAATACCTCTGATTTCTCTTCAAAACTTACATTCAGGTGGCCATATTCTACTTTAATGTCGGGCATGCAACAGAATTTGGCCAAATAATAAAATCATAGAAAATTAGGGTTGGAAGGGACCTCAGGAGGTCATCTCGTCCAACCCCCTGCTCAAAGCAGGATAACATTCTGCATTATCTTTTGAATGTTTGCCATAGCTCTGAAGCTTTGTAAATATTTTTTCTCTTTTCTTCCTTTTAATTTTCCTTCTTCTTTTGCAGCTTCGGAAAGCATCATCTCGGTTCCTACAATCATGGAGGATGATGACCAGGAGGTGGATTCTGCCGATGAATCGGTATCCAATGATATGATAGCTGCTACAGATGAGCCTTCCAAGATGTCTTCTGTGACTGGCAGGAGGATTCGACGCTTCAAACAAGAATGGCTTAAAAAGTTCTGGTTTCTACGGTACTCCCCAACATTAAATGAAATGTGGTGCCACGTTTGTAGGCAGTACACAGTGCAATCCTCTCGGACTTCAGCCTTCATCATTGGCTCTAAGCAGTTCAAGATACACACTATAAAGCTTCACAGCCAGAGCAACCTCCACAAGAAGTGCCTGCAGCTCTACAAGCTCAGAATGCATCCAGAGAAGACAGAAGAGATGTGCCGAAATATGACCCTGCTCTTCAACACGGCCTACCACTTGGCTTTGGAAGGCAGGCCCTACTATGACTTTAGGCCTCTTGCAGAACTACTGAGAAAGTGTGAACTCAAAGTGGTGGATCAGTACATGAATGAAGGAGACTGCCAAATCTTAATTCATCATATTGCCCGGGCTCTTCGAGAGGATCTGGTGGAACGGATCAGGCAATCTCCCTTCCTCAGCATCATCCTGGATGGGCAGAGTGATGACTTGCTGGCTGACACAGTTGCAGTTTATGTGCAGTACACAAGCAGTGATGGGCCTCCAGCAACTGAATTCCTGTCTCTTCAAGAACTGGGTTTTTCAACAACAGACAGTTACCTCCAAGCATTGGACAGGGCTTTTTCCAGTTTGGGAATAAGATTGCAGGATGAGAAGCCAACTATTGGTTTGGGAGTAGATGGTGCTAACATTACTGCCAGCCTGAGAGCTAACTTGTTCATGACAATCAGAAAGACATTACCTTGGTTGCTTTGCTTGCCATTTATGGTACACAGGCCTCACTTGGAAATTTTAGATGCAATCAGTGGAAAAGAGCTTCCATGTCTGGAGGAGCTAGAAAACAATTTGAAGCAGTTACTCAGCTTTTATCGTTACTCCCCCAAGTTAATGTGCGAGCTGCGAGTCACTGCTGCCACTCTTTGTGAGGAGACCGAGTTCTTGGGAGACATCCGAGCAGTGAAGTGGATCATTGGGGAGCAGAATGTCCTTAATGCTCTAATCAAGGATTACCTGGAAGTTGTGGCCCATCTGAAAGATGTCAGTGGTCAAACACAAAGAGCGGATGCTTCTGCCATTGCCTTGGCTCTCCTGCAGTTCCTTATGGACTACCAGTCGATTAAACTAATCTACTTCTTGCTGGATGTGATCGCTGTGCTTTCACGCCTCGCCTATGTCTTCCAAGGTGAATATCTCCTTGTGTCACAAGTGGATGACAAAATAGAGGAGGCTATCCAGGAGATCAGCAGGCTTGCAGACTCGCCTGGGGAATATTTGCAGGAATTTGAAGAGAACTTCCGAGAAAGCTTTAATGGCATTGCTGTGAAAAATCTACGGGTGGCTGAAGCCAAATTCCAGTCAATCAGAGAAAAGATCTGCCAGAAGACCCAAGTGATCCTAGCCCAAAGGTTTGATTCACGTAGCCGGACATTTGTGAAAGCATGTCAGGTATTTGACCTTGCAGCTTGGCCCAGAAGCACTGAGGAGCTCATGAGCTATGGAAAGGAAGACATGGTGCAGATATTTGAACACCTGGAAACAGTCCCATCATTTTCCAGAGAGGTTTGCAGAGAAGGAATGGACATCAGAGGAAGTTTGCTGATGGAATGGCGAGAACTCAAGGTGGATTATTATACCAAAAATGGTTTTAAAGACTTACTTGGTCACATTTGTAAATACAAACAGAGATTCCCACTGTTAAATAAAATAGTTCAGATCCTTAAAGTCCTTCCCACCTCATCAGCCTGCTGTGAGAAGGGACGCAATGCCCTTCAGAGAGTGCGCAAAAACAACCGCTCTCGCCTCACTCTGGAACAGCTCAGTGATCTTTTGACGATTGCTGTTAATGGGCCAGCCATTGCCAACTTTGATTGCAAGAGAGCACTAGATAGTTGGTTTGAAGAGAAATCAGGCAATAGTTATGCACTGTCAGCAGAAATGCTGAGCAGAATGTCCTCCCTTGATCAGAAGCCGATGCTGCAGAGCATGGACCACGGCTCTGAATTTTACCCTGATATTTAGGAAGGAATGCCTCAACTTCAGAAAGCTGTTGAATAATTTTTTTTTTAAATCTATACTCTAAACTTTGATATATTATATAAGATATATATATATATATATATATATTATATATATGAAAAACCCACACTGAAAATTTAAAGTTAAGGCGATGTGCGTCTGATAGAAGCTAAGTGGAATTTTAAGAATGAGACAATGTTTGAAATTTACTGATGTCTCCAAACATGGCAGCTGCAGTGTAGGTGGCAACATTTCATTCTTCAGAAGCATGTGCTGGGGCCATACTCTACATGTTGAAACGTAACAATCTATAAGCTAGATGACGGGTCTCTGTCAACCTCCTCCTCCTCACAGTAGCTTCCTTTGTATGTGTAGTTTTTTATTTTAATTTCCTGATTCTCTTTTCACACTTTAGTCCAGTTATTGAGCCATTTGAGCCCTTCGGTGATGACCAGTAGATTCCTGATTTCCGACAGAGCACCCTGTTCATATATGTTGGGATCCCTCTTGTTTTGAATAGAAGCTTTATTCACTTACAGAGGCTGTTGAGGGGCTTGGTTTTTCTTTTTTCTTTTTTTTTTTCCCTTCTATTTTAGAAAAAAAAGTCTCAGCTAAACTGTGATATCTCATTCTCAGTTCTCCCCACCGGTGGGCTGTGGAGTAAGGCAAGGCTTTCAGCTCCCCTTGTGATAACCCAACTACCAGTTATACATATTATAATACAATGTCATGTGCAGACTATAAAATAGCATAATAGAGAAGGCGGGGGAAATTTTGCATTTATATTTTTATATTATAGGAGATTTAAAAATATATACAACTCTTCATTAAAAACCAGGGCTGCTGTGGAAGCTAGACAGCCGGTGAGTCAAAACCCATCATAGGGTAGAGATTCTAGGGCTTAAAAATTATATTCTAATTTACATTATTTATACTATGTCTTTATAATCATAGATTGTTGTGATTTTTGTTTCTGTTTTGTTTTATTTTGTTTTTTGAATGAGTGAAAGAAAACCTGCTATAGTTCTGTGGCAGGGGATATCAATGCAAGATCCATCTTGGGTTATAATCATGTGATGATGTCCTTTAAAGGTTCATGTACTCTCTTGTGACCAAGGTAAGGTGTTCCACAACATGGCAGAATGATGACAAAAGGAAGAAGGAACGCTGTACTTCTTCCTGTGAAATATTTCTTCCTTTTTTGAAAAGGGTGCAAAGTCCAGCAGAAATTTGAAAGTGGGACTAACACTTTAAATGATAAGTGAGATTTTTTTAAAAGCAAATGAGATCCATATATTTACATAATGTCAATTCAGGTTAGAAAAAGCAAAAATCAATAACTAAATAAGGTGCAAAAATTCCACAGATGCTAGTGCCTTGCTCTGCTGATGTGGCATGGGCAGCATCAACCTGGCTGGAGCATCACAGGGGTGAAACATAGTTACCCAGAAGAATCAGGCTGGCATGTTCTCACTTCCTAGAGGGACAAGTCTTGTGCCAAGTGTTGTTATTTGGAAACATGGTGGTGTCAGCAACACTGAACCTTTCTTTTCTCCTATTACCCCCTGCCCTTGGTCTTGGTGCTAAGATATCTCTAGAACCGTTGCTGCTAGTTGATAGCTTTTCATTTATATAAATATATATATATATATATATAATTATTTTTTAAACTTTTGTTTTCAATGGTAATGTAGCATGTCTGAAACCAATCTCTCTTGGAGTCACTTTCACTGCCAGGGTTCACACACTGTCTTCCCCAACAAATCCACACACCTCTACCTGGATCCCATCCCCTCCCAAACTACTTTGCCCTGAACAGAAGCACACAGGTCAGGTGAAGACATGCGATTGAGCTGCCATCTTCCAGCTCAGCTCCTCAACCCCTGGACATGGCAGAACTAGTTATTCTGATGCATTTGAAAATGTATCCTATCTGTAAATCAACCCTTTTGGGGTATGGTGAGGAGGAGAGATGAACACTGCTTGAAGTACATATTGCAAAGATTCCTATACCTCTCATCCTTACTCTGTGCTATATGCTATTATAATAGGACAGTTTATTTGGTCAGTTTTGAAAGGGTCAAAATAGACTATGGAGCCTGTGATAGCTGATGGGATGGAATACAGTTTGAAGCACTTAACTCCTTCCTCTCTGTCTCTGCCTCACCCCATACAGTAAATGAAATGCGTATGCTAGGACAGATGCACCAGAGTGAGCTTGGTAGATAATGCCTAGTGTGAATCCAGACAGCTATTTGTATTAGAAACCAGGAACTGGAATGCTTTCCCCTGAAATCCTCATCCAAGTCCACAAGCAAGTCAGGTCAAGACACTGTTCCATATCAGCATAGGGAAGGCATTATGTAATACCTGGCAAGTGAATTATCATAATATATTGCTGAGGGTCCGCTTCTCCCCTTCCTCTCCCAACAGAGATTTTCTTCGGATTATTCAGCTTCCCAGATGAGGAAAACTAGACCAGATTGCCCTCTGAAACTGCAGACTCAGGCAACCCCTTGTTCAGATATACAGGAGAGTTTCTTGTAGAGACAGTGTTCTCAACCGCTGCTGGCCTGCGAAGTAAAACACTACCCATTTCACCATCACAAACCCACCCAGATCAGGTTTCCTTTTGGAATCTGTTCTATACCTTCTTTACCCAAAATCTGAGAAGATAAAAAACAAAGTCCCCCCAAAGAAACATTGCCTAAGCTTTCCGCTGTAACTGGACAATGTGAATTTAGATACTGAGGAAGCGCAACTAATCCAGCAGCAGAGCAGGAATAGGATGGGCTTATTAGTTTCTTATTACAGTACTTTCTAACTACACTCAGATATCTGGGAAATCTTCAGCAATAGAAATGGCAACCGTAAAAAAAGGTACTTGATGTAAGCTACTCTGAGTTTAAGGGAAACAAAAGACAGCTTCCACTCTCTTTATTTTCTTCAGAACAAGAGCTTAGGAGCTCCAAGGGATCCATCTCTTCACCCTAACAGATCTGTCCATTATCTTCCAAACAGAAAAAGTTAATTGGCCTATGGCTCTTTTTCAGAACAGAGCTTCAGATTCTGTGGCTGTCTTGCTGGAAAGAGACACGTGGCCAATCCACAAATACGTTTATAAACAGTAAAGCTCACCTGCTTCTTGTTCAAACCAGTGTTCAAGCCACGGAAAAGCCTGTTTACAACCTCTACCCCATCATCCTTTTTTGCTGATGTTGCAAAAGAAGACATCCCTATGCTGGAAAGGTGCAAGCCACCAAAGACTGGCTTATAAATGACATTTGTGACAGTCACATTTCATTTTCTAATACAGTTTATCATTGGTGTTACTTCTCTTTAGCTGTACACGTTCTCACTACTGGAGTAATATAGATGTATAGGGTGTTTTCTTTTTAGACTGCCTGGAAAGCAGTGGTGTCTTCTCTTGCAAAAACTACCCTACACGGTATCAGTGAAGTAATGTCAATGAATGAGTAATTCCTAGTGGCTGCATGCTGCTAAGATCTGCTAACTGAAAAGGCAAGAGATTCCTAGCATTTAACTATTAAGAAACGCAAGTATTTTGTTCAATAGTCAGGCTTGTGCAACACAAAGGAGTCTTCATTGTGCTTCACAAAGCAAATAACATCTTTGCACATGATTAATGTAGGGAGCTTTCCTTGCAGATTTATTTACATAAAGATCTGGGTTTACAACCCTTTCTCACATAGGTAGGCCAAGGGATTTAAATACAACTGCAAGAATAAGCAAGGTCTACTGTAAGGTTCACAATATAGGGGCCCCAACTGAAAAACTGTTATACTTGTAGAATTACTGTTGATTTTTAATGCCAAATGCTTTATTCACCCCCCTTTGTTTTTTCAGAACTGGTACCAAGTAAGGCTTTTGTGAAAGCAGATATGTTCCATTACTGTCTTTACAACTTTCAGTTGTCTGATTTCTTATGCAGGCCAACCTAAAGAGAAGTTGAAAGGTTCTGATGTAGTGATATCTGAGTGACAGCAGAGGGTGCCAGTTCTCAACGCTGGTGGAGATCCAGCATAGCAGTAGTAGTAGTAGCAGCAACAGCAGCAACCTACTGCACTGCAATACAACTCTGATGGGGTAGCAGGAGATACCTGTCATAGATTTTGCCTGAAGTTAGGAGGGAAGCTGTGCAAATGGGATCAGGTTTAACTGATTCCCCCTCCTGCTACTTCAAGCTAGGAGGGTATTGTTTTGAAGGTGTTGCTCCTGGTATTGTGAACATCCTCAACAGGAAAGATATGATGATTCTGTTATTCCTTGAGGGGTTTTTTTCCTTTTCCCTCTTACCTGGGGTATCTGACTGTGACTAATACACATTTCTCCAGACACTTGATTTTATATAGCTAGTCTTTGGGGGGATTGATTGCCAGTTCCCCCTATGCCCTTTTGCTCAGGCTTCTCTACTCTTATCCTGCTATTTGGCAGATACCCACTAAGCACATAGCCAACTACAGGGGCTCCCAGTGGCTGCATAAAGTCTAGGCCTCCCGGCCACTAGACTGAATACAACAGGGACAATCCTCATGGAAAAAGAGACCAAAGCTCTTCCCATATTAGCAAAAGTGCAAGAAGAGCAGATGCATGTTGGAAGGATCATGAACCAAATATGCAAGAGTGTCCTTAAGTAGGCAAGTTCCTGGAATGTTCTTTGCTTTAAAGGTTGAGTTGATCTTTGCATTATCCACATGTACTGTTTGCACAGTTGCTGGTCTGGGTTCTCAGACACTGTTCAGGCCCAGTCCATTGCTAGCACACAACACAAACTCAACCAGTTGGCCACCAGAGTTCTTTGGGGTTACATTTCTTTCTTAACTTAGCATTGCTTTTTGCTTGGCCAATGGCTAAAACCACCAAGACAGCCAGCTTGCAAACAAGTAGCAACATGCTCTGCTTTTGCCAGATTTCCCTCTCAATGCTATAAAAGCAGAGAAATGGTACGTTGCTCCCCCGACCATTGTACTCTCAATCCAGTAATGCCTATGCAATTCCTGTCTCCTTTGGAGACATGTATAATGTGTGTGCATGTAAGTTAGTGTATGTATACAGTAAATATGCATACAGTCTATATATTGTATATACGCACATCCCAGT